AGATGTCCCACTTAAGTTTATTGTATAGGGATACTAAAGACTTGTGTGCTCAAGATATAATGACGCTTGTCCTCATTTATGCATGTTTAAACTTTGCTCAACAACATAATATCTACTTGTAGTATTGGCTTATTGTTACATGTTATATAACGTTCAGACGAGAGACTTGATCACTTTAAAATCGTGATACAGAAGTGGCTTACAAACACAAGTACATCAATAAAAATAGTTATAAATACTTCCATTGTTATTTACAGAATCACTATTGAGAAGAGGAGCAACGGTGCATGCCAACAATGAAATCATCTGAGCATAAAAATATGCAAATAAAAAAAATAAATGTAGAGCCCACATAACGATGAAGAACACGTGTGGTATCAGAAACTGTAAGCAATGTAAAACACAAAGCCCAGGTTTGAAAGAATAATAAAGCTGTTAGGAATATGTAGTCCCAGTTTTGAGACTATCCTTCACTTGTGCGACTTAAACACAGATAACACATCAATTCAATTTGGTTAAACCCTGTTTAAATGTTCACATCGCCACATTTCATTGTACACTACACACACAAAAAGTGAAAATGAAACGATGATATGTAACGAGAACAACAGAAAATAAAGCCTTTCACGAGAAAATAATACAGTGAGAGAAATTCCTACACATCAGGTCAGGCTACAGACCAAAGTCACCCAAAAACAACACGTGTTTGCAATGCCCTACTTCGGTACGTGCAGTTTCCAGCTCACTCTGACTGAATGTAGCCACCCTCGACAACAAGTTAACACCGCTGGTGAAGACTTATTAATACAAAAACACCTGGAATACATGAGATGATCATGTTTTTTAAAAAACCGGGGCAGTCAGTCATCCAGCATGACATGCTAAACCCTTGACTTGAGCAGTTGTACCAGCTAAACTGGCCTGGTGTAATCAGGGTGACACACTGTAGCAGGTTGTGCTAGCTAGCTTTACCCTGCATTCATGCGGTCTCCGAATAATCGGAAAAAATAGTTTCCAGTCCACCTTGAACAAACTTGTTCTCTCAACGAAACGGAATGTCGAAGGATAGATATGGAATTTAAGGCGGAAAGTAAACGTAAAAAGTAAAAGGTGGCCTTGTACTCGGAAACTTTTGATTAAGTAATTTAGTTATTGTTATTTTATGCTTATTATTATACATCTTACGGTTATAAACGTAGTGGCATACTGCTTCAGCGTTAAAAAACAACAACAAATAAAACAACACATCTTTTTATTGCGTCTTAGTGGTGTGCACACTGTGACTTTGAAAACGTCAACACACTGGAGTTCAGAACCTGTGAAGACCGACTATCCGAGCAGCACTTGAACGCATTATAGAAAACCGAAAGCCAACGCAAAAAACAGTTTCATGTTGATGTCAGTGACATCAGAATAACGTTAAATAATTAAAATAAAATAATTTATTTTTAAAAAGGACAGGCCACTTTTTAAAAGCAACAAGCAGATAAAAATTACAGAAAAAAAACTAAAACAAATAAAACAAAATGACTTACGGTCACCACGGAGACTTCATGTTCTCAAACGTTAACCACCAAGATAAAATAAAGATTACCTGATGACTACCTGTGTCCTCTAAACTTCCCTCTTGACCAAACATGCTGTTAACACTGAAACGCAACAACTACTTACTAGCTTAGCTTGTTACGTCTGCGCTGCTCCGACTTGATAACGAGTTTTTAAAACGACGCAATAAATCTTTACACAGAGTTTATAAAACATTACCTTCAAACTCGTTTCCACGGCGACCTTAAACCACGCAGCTGGCTCAGCTAAGTGCAGCCTCTTATCGCCGGGATGTTGTTGACGGTAGTCTCTCCTGCACTGTCATTGCTCGTCGGTGTCGGTAGCTAACAACCAGGATCAAAGTCTCCGCTTTTAAAAGAAAATCGAGAAAACAATTCTACTTTCACCGCCCGAGTGTGAAATCGAAACGACGAGTTTGTAACGTCGAGACGAGAGAGAAGTTGAAACAAAAACAGTCTGCGTGCTGAAACTTACCTGTCCTCGCGCTGTGTGAGGCGGTCGCTCAGTAGTTCAGGGGTTTGTTGTCCTCGCGCTCACGCCATCTTTTTATCAAACGCACCGCCGCATGCTGGGTCACGTGACGCGCAGGCCAACAGCGGGCGTTTTCACCGTCAAACTCCGTGTCCAGCGTCGATGAAAACGGGTCTCCAAACAGCTGCGGGGCGTCCCCGCACGACAATTAACCGATGTGAGCGAAAAAGTTCGCATTTCTAAAACGGTGGCACAATCGACAAACATAGCAGAGTCAGCGAGCTAATGCAACATCACGTGACATAGTGAAAGACTCAGGAGGAAGTGACGATGTCCGAAAAAAAAAAAAAATCTTCTTCGTTTGTCCTCTTCCTTTTTTTTTTTCTGCTTCTGCTTTATTTTTCCTCTTTCTCCTTTTCCTCTAACTTTAAATGTAATTTTTTTTTAAATATCTTTTTAGATACTACTTTAATATTGTAATATATCTAAAGCAACTTTACCTAAAAAAGAATATGTCTGGTGGAAAGTTGTATGTTATAATAATAATAATAATAATAATAATAATAACTTTATTTATATAGCACCTTTTAAAAACGCAGGTTTACAAAGTGCTTTGACAAACAAGAACAAACTAAACCAAACACAGAAGAACATTAACAACAGCAAGAACATAACAAATGCAAAATAATTAAATACAATTCAACAGAAAAGAACCTAAAGTGTACGATACCCAACAGACATATATAACCCGACTGTCACAAGAACCATGATAAGAACCCAGGCAACACAAGAACCCAACAACACGAGCTGAGACCAAGAGGAACCAAAGATTTAAAGATATGTAAGAAACTAAAAGAGCTGAAAAAAATAAAAAGATAACAGCAATAAGAAGGTAAGAGCAGTAAAAGAAATAGAAACAAGTGGTTAAAGGATCAAAAAAACCAAAACTATAATATTAATAAAAATAAAAAGTAAATATAAATATGAAACATAAATAGACAAAGTAAGTAAGATAAGAAATTACCAAGTTAAAACATAAGAGGAGTTAAGATATATGCATAAATACGAGATAAGAGCATAAATAAAAAAACAGTAAGAACAGTAGGCCTACTTTTTTTTATAATTCAATGAATTTTTGAAATTATTTGGTGTGGATAATAAAGCCTGTTACAAGTTATTGCAAGACTTAGGTTTTTCTTTCCATCTTTTCTAAGGGTATACTGATTATTATGATAATTTCTCAATCATGAAAACTCATAAAGGCAAACCATTAGGAAATTCTTGTCCAACACTTTTGTGTTATTGAATATCTTAAATATTTTACATTTGTGAAAATAAATTAGACAAATAAAAGAATCAACTTGTCTCTCTAAGCTAAAAAAAAAAAAAAACACACCTAAGCTTATTCCTTCACTGTATCTCATTACATTTATTGGTTAAATTTGAAGGTGTCGTCATTTTGCTGTCAATATAATTTAAAGTAGCCTATCTACAGTGAAAAAATAATAATAATTGGGTGCTTTAGTACATACTTCATTTATGTTTAGAAGTAAACATGCCCCAGCCAGTATTGAACACCCATACTGGCCATACTGATCCAAGCACAAAAGCAAGCATGTGTGTTGAGAAAGTTGTGTTTAACGTTTTATGTTTAGCATCATGCTAAACACATGAAAAGTACAAAGTTCAAATGAAGTGTCCCCTGTTCTCCAAAGACTCGTCTCAATGAGATATGAATTGTTACAATACGGATCATCAACAAACAATTCAAGTCAGGGGGAAAACAGTGAACAGGGAGATCCTCAAAGTATTCCTGATTCTGAAATTTCTTAAGGGGGTTTATTTTCCTTCTGCAAGTTTATTTTCCTTCTAAAAGTATGCACTCTACGATGAGGTAAAACTTATGGGTAAAACTCTTACTCCATCTATTCTTAGCATTTAATTTCATAGTTGTAAACCACTTGAAGTAAGTCCTACAAATGCATTTTACTACTATTATTAACTATTTAAAAATGACTTTTCCTCTTAAAGATAAGAGTAAAATCGTGTTTTTTCATGAGTGCATAAAAAAATATCTTATAATATAGTATGTTTTGGGATGACTGTGACTCTCTCTTTTTAGAATTATTATGACTACACATTCCTAATTTACTTACAAGTTTTAGTGAAACAAAGTAAAGATTTTAATGTACGAGTTTAAATGGTAACAGAGCATGTTTACAGTTTGGTACAAGAACTTGAAATAGTTCCTCCAACAGTTCTTTCTTACCGAAGGCCATAACTCTGTACAACAGCTCACCTCTTGCGAGCAGAGAACTGTCATCATGATACTATCTGTCTCTCCTTACTGTAATCTGTTCTGCACATGTTAAATTTACAAATTATCCCTGCACTCATGTTCACTTCATTTGGCTGTGTACTCACAGTTATATTTTATAGTTTCTGCTTATAATATGTCTACACTCATGCACTTTAACTTATGTCAATACTGTCCATTTACAACTCTGTTTTTTGCACATTTACATTTAATCTTTCATATTTAATTAACTACCATTTATGACTCTGTTCTTGCACATTTACATTTAATCTCCCATATTTAATTTTCCTATTTAAGACTAGTAATGCCTAGTTAAATCCTGGTTGTATATATTCACATTCTTAGTTCTGATATTTTTTAGTACTTATTTACTTTGTATTTAATATTATATTGTGTTTAGATTTGCTAACATTGTGTTTTTTACTCATATTGTGTGTTTGATAACCTGCTGCTGTAACGCCACAATTTCCCAGTTTGGGATCAATAAAGTAATTCTATTCTATTCTATTCTATTCTATTCTAGTCTATTCTATGCTATACTGTATGACGTATGGTTGATGACGTCGCCTCGCGGTCGCCAGCAGAGGGCGCCAAAGCTTCGTCTTTCCTCTATCATTATTAACATGGAGAAAAACATGGCGGACAAGATCTGTGGAGGCTGCATCGGCTGAGCTGCTGGCAGTTTAAACATAACCGTAGGGCACAAAGTCACCGTGAAAGGAGGCCAGTCGGTAGGAAGGTAAATGCTTTTAAGATTGGGGAGAGTTTGGTCTGTAAACCGGGATAAAAATCCATTTGTTATTTCCCTCGAAGCGACAGGAGCAACGAAAACAAGTCGGACATGAACGGGGTAAGTTAGTGTGTTCATCACTAAACTATGGTTTACGAAGCGAGATTAAGTAGTCTCTCTAAATGATAACGATACATTAGCCTTTTAGGAGATTGAAATACTATTTTAAATCTAAAGTATTTGTTCCAGTGTTAGTGAACAGGTACAGTCATGTAAGAGTCGTGTTGTTGAAGAGTGCTTTAGCATTAGCTCGCTTCATGTGTCTGTCAGCTAAAGTCAGACATGTAACAGTGTTTAGAAAATGTAAAGAGAAAAAGAAGCACACAACGTCGTCTTGCGAAAGTTGTTGCAGTGTTTAAACGTGGTGGTTAAAATATATCTTAATTTGTGTGAATTTGGTGGGTAGATAATGAGGTGAGAAGAGGCCTGTCAGTGCCTGTTTTTTTTTGTCATGGTTTAAAGGGAATGATGTACTGGTGTGTTGTGGGTGTGGATCCTCCTCAGGGCCCCCACCCACACTACTAGTGCTGGTACTGTGGGTAACCAAGTGTGTTTCATATATGGTCGTAGTTTTGAATATTCATCTTCACCCCTTGTCAAGAAGAAAATAACACACACTGTAAAAAAAAAAAAAGTCCTGTTTCGTCACATGTATATCTTTTGATTCAAGTTTGTTTATGTTGTTCACGTAAATAAATAAGTTTAAAGACATATTTTTGAGCAGTCAACACATATCCTTTATCTATCTATCTATCTATCAATCAATTTTTATTTGTATAGCATCAACTCATAACAAGTGTTATCTCGAGACACTTTACAAAAGAGCAGGTAAAAGACCTTACTCATTGTTATGTTACAAAAAGCAGGTAAAAGACCTTACTCATTGTTACGTTACAAAAAGCAGATAAAAGACCTTACTTATTGTTATGTTACAAAGATCCGGTCTATCCATCATGAGCACTTCTAGCAAAGCAGCAAAAGTTACAGTGGTAAGAAAAAACTGCCTTTATTAAAAGGCAGAAATCTTCGGCCGGATCCCCGGCTCATGACGAAACAGCCTTCACTGTTTGATTTTAAATAAAAATCAAGTTTAGAAGTCAAGAACTATATTTCCAGAGGTCAGACCCTCCCGTTTTGCATAAGGCATAGCATCTGATGGTCAAAGCCTGACATATCTAATGTCTGATTGCAACTTGCAAATAAACTCTTAGTGGATAGGCCTAGTTGATAACTTACATCATCACAGTGCAAAGAACATGGGGGCTTAAAAGAGACCGCCAATACCAAGGATGAAAGGTGGTGTTTTAAGATGTGACATCTGAAGCCCTTGCTCCTGTAAGCTTTTCTAACTTTGTAAGGGATACATTTTCTCTCTGCATTCCCAGGAGATCGTTTGCAGTAGTCATTCAATCACTATCTTAAGCTGCACCAAGTCCATATCTCCAGTTCATGATGAAAACACGATCAAGCTGAGGCAGGAGGGAAGGTGCTCGCCAATATACTGCCAGCAAACTGATGCTCAAAGGCAAGGAGAGGGTGAGTGACTCTTCTGCAGCTCCACATCTTAACTTGAAGCTGAGGTAAATAGGATTAGTGATGAACTGTGTAATTGTATTGTTGGAATGTGTTATTTTTTTATCTTTGGAATACCGGATTCTCTGTCTGCACGGAAAATGTATCTTTTTAGGTACGAATTAAGAAACCGTGATCCTTAAACTTGAACTTGTGTGTGGATAAAATATTTGTATTCACCCTTTTATCTTCGACTCCAGGCCGCAGAACCAACACCATCAGCCTCTCATCGAAAGACACCCAGTCAGATTTCCCAGAGATGGAGAGCAGCTACAACCAGTGTTCACCCTGCTGGTCAGATGAAAAAACGCCACTGCAGCTCCATCGCACTCAGACCTGCCTCCGCTCCTCCACAGATCTCACTCTGCCTCTCAGTAACAGTTTATCACACCCTCCCCTCCACGCCAACAACAGCAGCCCCATCCACAGCCACCAGAGGAGAGGGGTATGCTTTAAGGTTAAAGGAAGAAAACCCACCCTAAGAATGTATGCAACAAACTCATTACTTGTACATTTTAAATGACACAGCGATTGGACATTTGTTTATGTGGTTATTTTGTCCTTTTCCAGCACGGGGGGGAAAAACTCCCAAAACCGAAAAGTTACTGACTACTTTCCAATACGAAGAAGCTCAAGAAAAAGTAAAACAGAGTTGAAGGTAAGACGAGTTTACATCTGTAGTTTCTCTTTTGATTTGTTGAATTCCAAATCCAGATGCAAATTATGGTTCACCTCAACCCAACCGTACCGTTACCAGTTATCTTTATGATAACCAACCTACACTTGGTCACTGCCTGTCATATAATGAGGGGCAGTGTATCAGCAACAAACTCCAAAACAAGTCTGTCTTCTGCTTGACTTTACTTGGAAACATTTCATGAAACTAGAGAAGTTGCAGATTGTTTTTTTTTGTGTTTGTGTGTTTCCTTATTTATTTAAGTTTTTAGTAAGATTACTTCATAGTAAAATCTAATTGTATTTTGTCTTGTAGTAATCATGTGTCCTTTTTTACCAGTGTGAAGAAAAGAAGCACATAGACGAACTCATCACAAAGGGAATAGAAGAAGGAATGGAGGTATGTTTACATGTTTGCTACAACCTTAAACCTGGCGTTCACTATAAGATTGTAGGAAAGTCATGGTGGAGTGTCAGCCCACATTCCCACAACCCACGCTCGACCAAAGCTCACGATTTATGGCTAAAACTGTTGCCATGCTGAAAATGTACTCAATAGTAACATAACATGGGTCTGTTGGCCGACAGATAATGACAGAAGATGTGTTGAAGGGTAAAAGTATGCAGACATTTTTAGTGTGTTTTTGTATGTTTCAGTTACAAAGACGGCTGTCAGCTTTGATGATGCCGTGGAAATCACTTGGAATAACAATCATTAAAAAAAAAAAAACAGTGCTAAAACTTTCCAGTGGTTTGTAAATGAATTTCAATTAAGTAAAAAAAGAAAAATAATCATCAGAAAATGAAGCAGGTAAGCCATAACGTGGAGCATAAGAATTCCCCAAAGTTTATTTTTCCCTAAACTGTGAGGGCCATAGTTCATCTAACTTGATGAAAACCAACTATTTATTTGCATTTACCAAACAGATGCAGACAGATGTTTCCTGTTTGTGTGTTTTTTTGTCCTTTGCCAAGCACATGCCTGAAAGTGGTTTCATCAATATATACTGAGTAACAAGAAATGTACTAAAATGAATCCAAAGAGTGCAGACAATGAGGATGTATGAAACATGAATGAAAACCAAAATCAATGCGTCCTTTGTTGTGATTGATGACGATAAACTTCCTTTTATCATTCATAGTAATTCAGTTTTAACAGCCATGCATCGTTATTGAAACGCTTCCTGTCAAACTGTGTTTTGCAGGTTCAGTATATAGAAGGAAAGGGGAGAGGAGTGTTTGCGACAAGATGTTTCCAGAAAGGCGAGTACGTGGTGGAGTATCACGGTGATCTGCTGCAGATCACTGACGCCAAAAAGAGGGAGGCTGAATATGCTCAAAACCCTGCAACAGGCTGCTACATGTACTACTTCCAGTACCTCTGCAAAACTTACTGGTATGAGAAACCACTTCGTTTCCTTTTATATCTTTAATCATGCATGTGTATTACCGTGTAGTGTGTTAAAAATAGATAGAGTGCAAGAACACTCAGCTCTTTTTATTATGTAAATAACAAAGTGACCGTGTAAAAATGCTGAGTGTGGAGTTTGTGCTTTCAAATCTCCTCTAATTACAAATATAAATTATGAGTAAGATAACATACAAAACAAGGGATGAAATACGAAACAGAATTACTTGAAAATAGAGATCAATACAGATACTTTTGATATATCAGGAACAATGGGGAAAAAAAGTGGGGGATCTCCCACTGTGAGGGATGTGTGAAACTCTAAATGTTAGAGGCAGGCTGTCCTGAAATGTTCTTAAAAACTCCTGGAATGTATTGGATGATGCCATTATGTTGACAATAATGGCATCAAAATGAGGTCAAATCTAATAAAAGCTGTGTTTGATTGAGGTTAATTTACAGAAGAAAAACTTTAGTTATTTTATCTGACACACAGTTTGTTTGCTTTTGTTTTTGACAGTGTGGATGCCACAAAAGAGACTGATCGAATGGGCAGGCTGATAAATCACAGTAAAAATGGAAACTGCCAAACCAAACTCCACGACATCAACGACGTCCCCCACCTCATTCTCGTTGCTTCTCGAGATATCGACGAGGGCGAGGAGCTTCTGTACGACTACGGAGACCGCAGTAAAGCCTCCATCGCTGCTCACCCTTGGCTCAAATATTGATCCAGGGCTCCTCTTCAAAAAAAAAGAAGAAAAAGGGAAACGTACAGTAACACTCATGTTTCTCTTTCGTTAGTGTACAAAATGCCTTAGAAACAGAATGTGTACCCTTTTTGTTCTAGTATCGAGGAGATGGGGGAGGGGCGGGGGGGTACTTATCACATTTTGGTTGAGGTCCCATGACTTCAGTACTTTTTATTTATGTGTATATGAAACCTTCTGGTTGTTTTGCAGCACATTTATTTTGTACATTTTGTATTAGAGCAATGCTTCTACAGCATGCAGGTGGTAGTTAACGCTCTGCATTTTTATACCGCTTTTTCTTAATTAGTAGTTAGCAATACTTGTATTTAAGGCCCCGGCGTCCTGATTGGGAGAAGCGTACAAGATACTAATAACAAAACCCTTTAAAAAAAAAAAAACTGTTCTAATGGGGTTTGATTTCAGACATCAATACTCACATTGTTTTTAGTGGGAGTGTAAACGTTGAGCAGATTCATGGCTTATTTTGCATATGTGGGTCTGAATAACGCACAACATTCACATGGCTGTTGAAACTGAAACTTGATACACAGGAATACATCAAAAATGAATTTTACTGCATCTACATGATTCTCTTTTAGTTGAGTTTTATATCTTTCCAAAATATTGTATTTTTAATTAAGAAAAATAATAACTTGAATTTCTCAATCACTGACTGTATGATCATTCCAAAGTTTTCTCAAATACCTAAAGCATATTTTTTACGTTCACTTTATATTTTCAAATTTAGAACAGCAAAAATTAATCACTTTTCTTAAATGATTAGCAAATAATTTAAGAAATACTTTGGATAGCTGACTTGAGTGCAGATCTCTTTCATTCTTTTAAACAGTCGACTTAAAGGCATCAGAGGCTGGACATGTTACATTATTTTTTACAAAGACATAGGGAAGTTATAATAAGGTCAATTCAATCTACTCAATGGACACCCTTAAGTATTCACTTAAATATTCATGAACTCACAATTCTCTATCACTGCACTTTGTAAATATATTTATTTGCTTGCTGTTGTAATCCCACATTTCACATTTTTCGTATACTCTTTCCCTTACTGGTAGAATTTTTTTTACTAATTTCTCTACGTTTAATTTCATATATAATCAGAGTGTCTAACCTGACAAATTGTCTTAAAATTATCCCAATTTAAATTTCCATTCCCCAGCCTTGATATATGAACTAATTGCTGCTTTATATCCTCCATATTTATAGGCATAGAGGTTTAATCTTCTTTTTTCAACCTACAAAGTGGACACCTCTAAAGCCAAAATGTAAAACTCTTCTACTTAAGCATGGGTTTTGTTTATGTCACATATTATTTTAATATTTTCACACAAACAAAACAAGGTGTCTTTGGGTTCAGACCAGGTCCGCTGGATCAGGTCTAAAATGGGTCTGGTGAACTTTTACACTCCTGATGTTCAAACAGGATAAACAGGTCTTTCTATACCACGCTGTTGTCGTTTACACTGTTATCACATTATTCACAACTACATGTTCCGTGTGAAAGTATTGAACTGCTGAACTGCCAACAGGTCTTCTTTTCTTTTAAAACTTTGTTTATTAATACTTTAATCTTCAAAGAGTGTTTCACATGAATTGTAGCCAGAAGGTCAAATTTACCCCAATTTATTTGATCAACCTTGACTTGGGTTTGATTTGTCCTGAACCAGAAAATCACAAAGACACATTATTCTTCTTTCCGCCCATTTGCATTCATATACTGTATTTTTTAAATATATTTAATTTCATAAATCATGCTGGCACTCCATGTACCTAAACTTAGCCGGAATAATTACACGACTGTTCGAGTCAACATGCCACAGAAACATGCCAGCTCTCCAATATTCATTTTAAAGATTGCTGGATGAAACATTTGACCGGTAATGGTTGAATTCAATCAATAATAAATCAGCTTAGAGCAAAGCCAAGTGATATTCCATTTCTTTTTATTGTAAACAAATCTCATTAGAAGAGAGGAAAAAAAAACAACAATCAACATGTTAGACTGTTTCTCAATACTGTACAACTTCCTGTCTGTGGCCATGAGCCTGTTGGTTCCTCCTGCAGACATCCTCAAAAACAAACACTACCTTATAAATAGTGTCGTTTTAAGAAGGCTAACGTATTTTCAAAAAACAGCTGTTCACTGTAGTTTAATGACAGTAGTTATTATTTTACAGGAGAAAATGAAGTAGCACAATTTAAAGTCTTACCCATGTACACATGCAGTTCATCATTTATCTCCTTTATTTGTATCTAGTTGTCTTCCACTAAGTGCTGATTGAGTTATTATCTAAATTATCATGGATTGTTTTAAAAATGAGTTTGGTATTAAAATTCTGGAGCTCAATGTTTTTTAACAGACCGGATGATTAAATGATTGATAGCGCCCTCCTGTCTGTGGTTAAAAAATAGAGCCACAACTACAATATGTTTAGCTAAGCTTAGCATGAAGAAATGGGGAACAGCTAGCCCTGCTTACTACAAGAGCTGAAGACAAATCATCTGTATATCCAAACCTCCTAAGCTAAGGAGATGTTGTATTTTAATTGTAAAATCTGAATGGATCGTAAAAACACATTTCCCAGTTCAACTCCTAGGTCAGGACCAGTAATGAATTTTTATATGGAACTTTTTAAGTAGGTCAAACCATACACCATTATGTAATAATACTGATACTTCAGATTTTCTTTGTAAATACTTTGCTCTTTAATTGCTGAACTACTAAAGTGACATAGTAAATGAGGCAGACTTGAGGCTTGTTAATGAAATGAAGGATTTTGTTCTCAGAAAATGATCCACAAAAAGCTGTCAATATCTAACATCAAATACTTCATTCAAAGCACCTGTGAGGAACTCTGTTTGTGTGGACCTTGGCGCCGCCTGTGGACAAAGTTTGTAGTCCTATCAAGAACACATGCAATACGATGTGGTCGACTTTAGATGTTTGCAGCTGGATCAGGTTGCTTAAACCCAGTTTTGCTTTCTTAAATCATAACAGAAGTATAATGAATTTAATCCTGGATTAAAAGGGAAAAAAAAGATGTCAAGTAAACACTTCCATCCCAATAATAGTTCAGTACATAAACCCCTTCTAAAATGGGCAATGTCTTCTATAAACAGGTTTTATGATTAAGAACATGTTCATTTGTGAGAGGATGTTTTTAGGCTCAGTTTGTGTCTTAGGACAGCTATCTGTTTCTCTCAGCTCATAACCTCCCACTACAGGCTCAAATTCAACTGATATACTGTACATGCTATTGGTATCAGTCTTTTTCTTTGAACTCCGAGCAACAAAGCAAATAACTATCTCTAACTACCTTTTTTTTTTTAAGTCCTTGAAATTATATTGAATTCTTTTTTCTTTCACAAGTGTTCAGACTTCATGAAATGCCCCCCAGTCGAAGTCTTAAGGTTTTCAAAGTATATTCAGTACGTCTTTGACTTCAAAGACTTTTTGAAAATGACCTTGAAACAAGTATCATCAGTGTTAATAAAAAAAGAGACCAGAGACTTTTCAACATTCCCCTGCCACCTCTTACTGTAGCATTGTTGAATTGAAACGTTTTTATTGAGCAGAGGATCATTTCATTCTTTATGTAGAACAAATGCAATAATACCAGACCTGTTGGCCATTTTAGGAAAAATATCTCTTTGCTGTTGTAGCGTTGAATAAATCTTAATGCTGGGGTTTGGTCTTTGATGAATAAAGATGTAATATGCAAGGAAGACAAGTGGGCCTCTCATTCGTTCTTGAATAAGTACCGGTAATACCAGGTTGTAGTTTTTTAAGTTTTATTTTTTGGTGACTTTTGATAGGACAGCCAAAGAGAGACATGAAGCGCCTGGAGAAGAGAGTGGGTCATGACATTCAGCAAAGGGCAGAGGTCAGATTTGAACCCACAGCCGTGTGATGAGGACTATAGCCTCTCCTGATGGTCTCACACATATCATCCTCTGCCATCAGGGTGTGAATTGGTAGGTGTGACATGCAGTGTAAAAGCACTTTGAGTAGTCAGAAGACTAGAAGAGCTCTATAAAAGCACAAGTCCATTTAACATTTACCATTCCATTTACATGTGGCGAGCTCTATAGCAGCTAGGCTATTGGTGCCCTGCAATACAATGTGTTGAATATGCACAATTAGTTTTAATCTTAAATCAAGATTTTCAAGTATTATACATTTTTACATTTTCTGATGTTAAGTGAAAGATGTCTATAACTAAATGTCGTGTACTGTTTCTAAGATAAAGAGATTGTACCTATGTCTCTTTAAGCTCGTACATGTCTTCAAGATGAATTTAGAAGACTTGAATAACTTGTTAAAGCAGTGGAATTGAAATTGTTACATTTGTAGCGTGAATTAAAGAGGTCAATTCACCTTTATTTTACAAAATTCACACTCAAGATTAAAAGATTTGAAAAAATAAAATAAAAAAGAGCCACTACAGAGATTGCCTATAAGGGCCAAAAAAAACTTACCAGTAGAATAAGCTAAGATTTTGGAAAAAAAAAAAAAAGATAAATTTACAGGTTTAAATTGGATATTTTTTGGGTAAACGTGTTAAATTATAAGAAAGCTGAAATTAACAAAGAAAGAAAAAAGACAGTTAAAATAGTATATAATAAACACTTCTTTTGGTCAGTCATGATTTTCTAAAAACTTGATGAGTGAAGATTGGAAACAGTTTAGAAATCATTAAAAAAAGACAAACACCTGAAACATTTCAGAATGGTTTTATTAGGGAGGGGGACAGCCAGCTTGTTAAGCAAAGCGCTCATTTCTTTATCTTTTATGTATGCATTTGAACAGGGAAACACACAGGAGTGGGTCATGAACACCGACTTAAAGAATGAGCTAAAGAATGAGCTAAAAAATGGGAGTCAGCATTCAGACAGGTTGCTCATTTTGAGAAATAAAATCCCTTTTGATCTTTCATGGTGTAAATGATCCTTGTCCAGGTCCCTTTGAGCTTCCGCTGTACAGTAGTATAATAAGAAATGGTTCTGAAATAAATATATTTCTTAAGTCAGTAAATACAATAAACAAAGGGAGCTGCTTTAAAACACACTGATTATAGTGTTTTCTTCATTTGACATTCATGATTCCAGCTTGTTAGTTGAGATTTGACAAGGATTAAGTGCCGGTATTATTCAAATACACTTCGTCACACCAGAAAGTAAAGTATTAGTGTCTGCGTAGTTTGAAGTCAAGGTGGAGAAGCAGAAGCTACAGAAGCAGAGAATATCTGTGCTCGCAAATTGTTTCTTTTAATGCCGTATTGTCCGAATCACTGATCATTTTCTTTTCTTTTCTTCATGGTTTAATTTATCTCAAAATCTCATGAACTAAAAAGACAATTAGAGTTTTTTAAACTGATTATTACAATGAATGCACCTATTTTCTGAGGATAAAACAAGACATTATGCAAGAAAACTTTTGTTCCTCCAGTTAATCATTCAGACATTAAAACTACTTGTTTTCTGAAGATAACACAATTTAAAATGTAAGTAAACAAATATTGTTTCGATTATTCGATTATGATAACACATTTTTTCACCCTGCGGATACAAAGTTACATTATTGCGAGCGTACAGTTTACATTTCTCAGTTATGCAAATGTACCACCAGAGAACGTGTTTATCTCAACATACTGGGACGACCAATCACAAAGAAACAACTTATGTCTTAAAACAGAAGTCTACTGTTGTTATCTCGGTATACTGATATCAAGATTTTGTTTGTCTGGTATTTAGAGTTTGATAATCACCTCAAAATAAAAGTAACGTTTTTTTTTGGAATTAAAAAATAACAGACTTGATTTTAAAATAATGCCATTTCAATTAAAATAATCTGGAGATCTGTTTGTATCCAGGCTATTACTTTTCTGACTCAAACATAATTTGAGGAATATTGCAGTTTTACTTCCAATGTAACCCCGTGATTTTGAATTGCGGCAAATAATCCACGCGTGTGTTTCTTGTCTTGGCAGTAATGGGCGTCCATACTTAAACAGGGCATACATTATAAATAAAGCATTTGAGTGTTTCTGTTTTGTCTATTTCTATACACAACTTTAAAAAGGTGTTTTTAAGCATCACTTTATACGGCTGAGCTCTTTAGATATGTTAAACTGCAAAGTTATGCTGGTGATGGACCTACAAGCTGCCTATATCACATTTCAAACAGACCAACGTACTGCAAAGTGGAATCTAAAGAGCAATTGTTGGTGTTGTTGTTGAATGGTTTTCTTTGCAGACTGGCCTTGTAATTTGAACAGGGATTGTGATATAAGATTAGTTCAATACACCCCATACATCTAGAGCAATATTAAAGTCAGTTATTCAGTTGTGCAGCACATTTTTTGTTGTTCTTTCCAACCACTTGTGAATACTCCAGGCATTAAACAACATGATCGTTGACCATTTGGATTACGACTTTCCATTTTCCATCATACAACTTGAGTTCACTCTCTCTTCTAGTGCTAACTGTTCAGCACCTGTAATATTTTATAATACTTTTACGAGGTCAGACCAAACAAGAAGCACATTTTTCAGTGGGGTAATAATATACGCAGTCAATGCAAAGATGCAAAAACTCTACTGTGTGAAGCCAAGGACCCCCCTTTTTATCCTGAACCATGGCAGACACATTAAGGGCTTTTACACCCGCAGAAAACTCCTGAAAAACTCAGGATATTTTCCGGAGGAGCTGTATGTGTGAACCCAAAGAGCTTCATTTTTCATTCGTACTTCACCCGGAGTTTATCCTGCCCGACCCCTAGGATTTTTTCCGCAGCAAGTCCAAGTGAGCTTATGTGAGAATGTCGCAGCATATTCTCTGGAGAATTCAGCTCGAGCCAATAGGAGAGGGAGTGACGTTTCTATATTGTTAGTACTGCACGGTGCATAGAGTGTATGCATGCGACCGCTACGATCTCCGTACACATAACTAAACTGCTGCATTAAGTTTTCTATTTGCAATTATGTTCTTCTCCGCTCATTTGTTGATATTGTGATTCCTTACGAACTATAAGTAGCATTGATATAAAAGCAAATATTCTCATTATAGCATCATAAAGCGTCCTCTGTTGCATGTCCTCTACTTCCACGTCTTTTTTTTATTACCTCACGTCTTACCTCGGGAGACCCCCCCACCCCCACCCCCACCCTCCCCGTCTGACAGGGATAGTCTCCTAGTGTGAGGAGCATATGTGAACAGCCAGGTCAGGAGAATATCTGAAACAGTTGTCCTTATCTAGATATTTTCAGGAGTGCATATGTGAAAACGACTTGAATGTTTTAACTTGAGCAAAAGTATCCAATGTAGCAATAATTATTATTCCGACACGATTTATCATGGAGCTTCTTTGAGTATCTAGAAAAGCGCCATAAAAGACCAATTTATTATTATTATTAGTATCATATGTTCTTATTATTGTTTGTCACTTCATCTTGCTCTTGCCTTTACCCCTGATGTTTTAAAGTTAAACTTTTTACGTCTTGTATTATTTTTGTGACGCTGTAGGTCTGAAGCTCTGAAGTATAGTCGCAATCCAGTGACGATAAAGTTTCATGTGTCTTGTGATATAATGAACGGAAAGCCATGATGTTTTTCACCATTCAGAAAATGGGGGGAAAACTTTTTGTTGTGGTGTCCAGATACCTGATAAAAAAATAACATTTTGTATATAAGGAGTCTACATGGTATGTGGATGAAAATGTGCTTTGTGTTTTGTCTGAACGTAACTTTACAGTTATACAGTCTGAATGTGAAATTAATCACTGAGAATCACGTGACGTTTTAAGAAACCTTGTGGGGAAGTTCTTTTATAAATATCTTTATCTAAGAAGGAGCCCTCTAAAAGTTCATCCATTCACTCCTCTTTCCGTTCACCTTCTCTCAACCAGCAGAGATGATAATGAGATCTTAGATGCAGCGTGTCTCGTAGTGGAGGTTTTGATTTGCAGTTGATGAGCCGGCCTCGAGTGATGAACATGGGAGTGTTAAACAGTTTTGGAGTTTGACTTGTCACTACATGTGCTGCAACGCCTCCTGTGCTTGTTCGGTGTACACGTCGTCCTTCCCTGTCCACGAGCCGTCAAACTGTGCGCTCCGCTGTGTGCCCCGCTGTTTGTCCCGGGAGAAGAAACTAAACCTGGGACCAGGGGAGAAAGAGGTGAGGTCGTTAATGGAAATGTCAGTGAACCGTCAGAAGACAGCAAATAACAGCATGACTGTACTGTGTGTGCAGGAAGTATCAGTCTTTTTAAAGCAGTGTTAGGGGGCTACATTTTGCAACATCGGCAGATAAAAATGATTATTTTTGTTATTCTGATACAGCTGTATGATTATTGTGAAGAAAGTTCATCATGAATTCAACAGGCAGCAAAGAGCTGGACAAAGTTTGACCATTTACGCTTGTTAAGTGCTGAAGCGCATGATATCAACATTTTATTTTATTTTAAATGGCACATATTTAAGTGGAACATCAGTGCTATTGGAGAAGGCATAACACTGCAAAATGCAACATGTTGAATCATATGATCACCAGATAAAGGCCTGTGCTCGGGTCATTCTAGAGACAAGTCTTGAATAGCGATTATTTCATATTTCAGCATTTTTGAGTTTCTTTAAATAAAAAGGGTGAATTTCTTGAACCTTCTTAATGTTATGAAGTTGCCCGGCTACCTGCTTCTCCCTGATAAAGCTATGGCAACAAGTTGTCTGCATGTTGTTCAATCTCTCACATTTCAAACAAACCGCATTAGATGAAACAAAAAGTTTAGTTTGAAGCGACCCCATCAAAAATGTTGCGCTTTAGAATGATTATGATCTCGTTACACACATAGTCTCATAGTCCACTGCAGAGCTCCTACATTGCACCTTTTGTACATTTTGTGTTTTTTATTTTTTATAAGTTGTTGCTAGTTCTGCTTTATTTCCGTGTTAATTGTTTAGCACCAATACACCAAGTCAAATTCCTTGTATGTGTAAATGTACTTGGCAATAAACCCAGATTCTGATTCTGATTTATCACTTCATTTGTTCTGTTTGTAGAAATTATTCGATTTAACCGACAAAATGTGCAAAATGTCACAAAGAGCATCTTTACATTAACTCAAGTCAAGTGATGGTTAAAAACTTTCCTCTGTATTAATATCATTATATATTAAGAGATGTTGAGTTCACTCTCAGCGGTGTTATCTCAGTCTCTAACAGTTACTTAAGCACAAAAAGCACTTTAGTTTGTAACTTCCACAGAATTACTTGGATGAGTTTAAAACACAGAGGAGTTGTTATGGTGGTCAGATGAGGGAAAAGACGAGACAACAGACTACATGTTCATATTCTGACAGGCTGATTTTCTATGATCCACAATCTTTGTAAGACTTCCCAACAATCAGCCAGTCAGAGTACTACAAAGGTGGGGAAAAGCAGCCCTGCACATGCAAGAGGTTACGGACTCTGAAGCCAACCACAAAACGAGTCATACAAGAGATACGAGACGTCTGATTGGCTGTAAAGTGGGGTCATCTGGGATCAAACCAGCAGCCACCATCGGCATAATGGCTGTGAAGATCCTGTTACACAGAAGTACAGACACACACAGGCACAAACAGGAAGAGATAAAGAGAGAGAGAGAGAGAGAGAGAGGGGGGAGGGATGGGAGGACGCACAGAGGGGAGACAGGGACCACATCAACGTTTAACCTCTGTTTGGACTCGTGTAAAGGTTCAAATCAAAGGAAGTCATGCTGTAGTTCATGCTAGGGAGAAAAACGGATGTAAGCAGAAGAATACACTCTGCTTCTCTTTGCGGTATGGCTATTTAGAGTTTGCGTATATCATGTCTTGAACCAGACCCGTGAAGACAAAATCATGCTAATCATTAACCATGCACACAAAGGTTGTTAAATGTTCAATACTTTGATACGTATTGATAACACTGGGTTTAAAACGATACCACCTCCAATAATTTAACGACTGACAGTATTAAAGGAAGAACGTTGGACCTTTTTGATCCAGTAGATGTCGCCCTTGAGCACCAGCATGAAACAAAAACACACTGCTGTTCGGCGACACCTCCGCTCAAACACTAAATCCTCCGCTCTCCTACAGCGACACACATCCAACTCGCCTCCCCTCGCGTTTGCACGAAGGAGTTATCAAGTTAGAGCGCACCATAATTAAGTGCTAAGCGCAAGCGGAGGACAAAATTGTCCTCGTCTTGAGCTGAAAAATGTTGTGTTAGCAGGCAAATGGCAGCGCTCTTTATTTAGCTTGTAGCTTCACATTGAATATACAGTTATCTTGGAATTTATTGTGCAAATGCTGTGAAAATTTGAATTGATACTTACTGCCTGCTCAAAGGAATGTTACAACACACAAAAACAGCACAAACACAAACTATGTAGGAAATCAGCCTTAAAACAGAAGTTGAAGATGCGTTCAGATTCTTTCTTTAAGATGACTTTCGGTATTTTCTACATCTTAACCCTTATCTGAATATGCCCATTCAATGAAAGAATCATTTGTTTTTGTTTTGCAATTGTTAGTCTTAGAATGTGATTTAAAGTGTCTGACAAAATGCTTATAATGTTAAGTTTCTTTTCCCCAAATTCAGAAAAAATCTGCTAAACATGCCTTTCTCTGTTATAAATGTGAGTGAAATGAGCAATGAAACTGATAATTCACAATGTTTGTCCACTTTTAGAGGATAAATTAGGGCAGAATCCTCACCAATTTGCAGATCACTTTCCTCAACATCACGTTTGATCATGAAGAAGACCGAGTTCAGCTCTGAACGTTGGCAATAACTATAGCAGCTTTGAAAATGTGAATCCGCCGCTGTGTTATCTCTGGTTTGTATTTCAAGGATACAAAAACACTCTGGAAGCAGGGACAGACATGAGCAGTGACCCAGCTCGATCACTGTTTGTTGTTGTTGATGGATACAGCCAATTCAGGTCTTTTTTTGTGGTCCCTTTAAACCTCTGATTATTTGTAAAGCTGTTATGGCTTGTTTAAAAATTTACATTAAGTATCCTGCACACTTTTCATTTTGACAATCTATTACAGGAAATATCAAAATATCCTAAAAAAGAGATAAGCTCGATAGAGAGTGAAGATTGGTGAAGAGACATTTGTTCTATTGTAAAATACATGCATGAGCCTTAATCTCAATTTCTTATGGGGTGTCAGGTTTTAGTATGCAGGGGCTGCTTCAAATAGGTTTTGCTCAGCACATGCAAAGCAATCTTACTGAGGGATTTTGACTTGAACAAGCTGCTTTATCAAATCGAAGGCGGATACTGTGTGAGCGTGTTCGCATGAGAAGACATTTCTGAGGCGAGTTTGCAGAACTGATAACAACTTACAAGCGTTTGATTCCAGACTCGGGCTGAGTAGTAGTACGGGAGCGAGTCCTTGGTTCAGGTGAGGGTGACGGAGAGGGAGTAATGATATCGTCTTCTGTCTCCTCACTGAAAAAATCATAGTAATAATCAACAACAAACCCGGAATTAAGTAGCTGTAGATATAAGTAAGGGTCTCTTCAGATTGACACATCACAAAAGCCTTTGAACTTCACTGTATGTAAGAAACAGATGGAGCCTTTGAGTAGGAAAAGTCAAGCAGGGTTGGTGATATAGGGTTGGATACACTTTTTAAGATTTTGGCTGAAATTGTCTTTAGGTCCTGACAGAAATTAAAAACTCACATGCTCTGAAAAAGGAAAATCTGTCATTTGTAGCATTTGTAAGCATGTAAAAACTTCAACCATGCATTAGCCCACACTCAATGTGTGTCACAGATGACAGCATTTAGAATTGTTTCGAAGTCTACGAGAAAACCAAATGCTGTCAAAGTTTGCTAAGGCTTGCTCTTCTCCATCCTCACTGTCTCACCCAATTATGGTCACTGTGTGCAAATGAAAACAAAGCCGACGGCTGCTAAAAAAGCCAACCCTCGAAGATTCAAATGTTTGTCAACACATACCAATGTTTTACATCATGGTGAGTGGCCTTTTCAAAGTCTGACAAATAATCTACTAAGTCTTTGGTTACCTTTTATAGTAGGCCAGCTCCTCCTGCAGCAGGAACACTTTGGCCTTCAGCTCATTTCTCTCGTGGAGAACGTCCCTTAGCTCCTGTAGGGTGAACCTGGGACGATTGGGGTCCTTTGGGTCCAGGCCTCCAGACTCCTCCTCACACAACGCCTCCTGGCGAGAGAGAAATGCATCAAAAGAGGAAACAAAACCAGAGAGAAGGAAGGAAGGCGGGAAGGAGATGAGGATACCTTAGTAAAATATTGGAACACAGCAGGCATGTCCTCATCGCACATCGCCTCCTGGTGGCAAACGTTGAACTCTTAAGTCAGATATCAGGCCTTGTTCCAATACAATTGCCCTTCCCCCCTCCCTTGAGGCTAAAACTATGTTTAGTTTTTTTAAACTCAGCACACTGAGACATACAATGTCTGTTAGACACCTGCAAGGCTTCAATGACACATGCAGCTGACAGAAGTCACTCATGCACTGAGAATAAAAACAAACCTTAAATGCTGCTAAACGTGTGTGCCATACACTATGTTTAAGTCCAACTGAAATTGCATTCCACTATCCCTTTACGCAGTCACACTTTATGTCAATATATTTATTTATTTTTAAATGTACCAACTATTTTAATAAATAAAAAAACTTTGATAGAATTTGTTCCCCTCTTTTCCTCTCACCTAGCTACAGGGGCGTCTCTGTGTTTGATTGATACTAGCTAGCAGGCTAATCTTCATTAGGGGACAAGTAGTTCACATAAACTATTTGCTAAATAACATAACAGCGACATTCACACATCCTATTCGTAGCAGCCACACTTTTTTTTGTAGCATTAATATACTTGAGCCACACCACGTGTAACCCACACGCGAACAAGTGGCTATTCCTAAACGGTATGAAGTAGCTGAACACAGCGTTGCAACTTCACTTAAATTGGCAGAGAGTCGCCCCTAACCTGTGACATCTGGACATCCAGAGCAACCAGACTCATACTCGACTGTTCAGGTATGAATCTGTTGCTGAAGGGAAAACACCTGATACGTGATTTACAGACCTGCTATTCAATTTCAGTTGGACTTTAAACTGCTAAAACTGTACAGCGGATCATGGTGCAATAAAAGACGACTTCGAGTGCTGTTAGAGGCTGAGCGGCTTGAGGGATCTATTCTTAGAAAGGTCATCAGTGCTGTTGTGCACAAAGTCTCACCCAGTTGGCTGACCAGCGTGAAATCCTTCTAACACTCTGTTAGTTCCTGAACACCCATGCAGAGCCATTTCAGCACTTCTCATGGGTCATTCAAACGTTAGTCTGCTACATTGTTTTGTCTCTACTGATTCGGTTGTTCTCCACAGACATAGAGGGTGCAGGTTGGAGTTAGAGACAATCACAGCAGTCTGGTTTTCTAGCTAGCACTCCTGCATTACCCAGAGTAACACAGCCTCGTCCTCAGCTTCCTCATCCAAGGGTCCCTCTGGGCTGAGGGAACCAGGCAGGGGTTGGGGGGGAGGTTCAAACCCACCCTCCATCAGCTCAGAGGGCTCAGGTCTGTTTGACCAGCCCTCAGCACCCATCGCTGCAGCAGCTTTACCACACTGGTGGAGTAAGAGATACTTTAACACCTGTTTAAAAAGCAATCCTACCAATTGTGTGTGTTTGTTTGCTATTTTTTGGCTTCAGGGGGAAGTGATTAGGAATCATAATGGATGCAAGAACAAGAGATTAAAGCACTTTCAAAAACCATAACCTACATTGAATTGGCTTGTTCAAAGTGTAGCTGCATTTCTTAGGATTATATCAGTACTTATAACTTTAAAAGATGGAAACATTTTTGAAAATACATGAGTTTGCGTCTTTTGTGAGCGCTAAATTAAAAGGTTGAAACCACTGTCCTAACTCTTCCCCAAAATAGAACTAGAGCCAGAAGATACGGTAGCCAAGCTCAGTAGAAAGACCGGAAACTGGACGAAAAAGCTAGCCGGGCTCTGCCTGAAGGTATTTGCTAACCGGCTCCTCTAAATCTCACAAATGAATGCAGTTTATAATGTGTCTTTTTTTTTTAGTTTTAAGGCGATGTATGTGTCAGAACCGTGCAGATCTGTTTGAACAGAACAAGGCTAACTTTCTCCTTCTGTTTTCAGCCCCTGCACATATCTTAGATAAACAGCTCGTTGTTTGCTTTTGTAGTACTTTATTCTATTCCACTAAAGGTGACAGAATAATAGAATATAAAGGAGTAGACTGGCAATTCTTGTACAACTTAAAACCAGGGTAGGAATTTGTTTCATTTTAGTTTTATTTGTTTTTACCTCCAGACTGGATGGATGTAAAACTGAACTGACTAAAATATAAAGAAAAGAGAAAAAATATGTTACCTGTGAATGTCACAGGCCTGAATAAATCACTTCATGTAGACAGAATCAAATTATTTGATAGTTTACCTACATGCCCACCAGCACACACACTTTGTTTGTTGTTACTCTGTTTGTTTGTTGTTTACCCCAGGGTTAGGACAGTAACTCTAAGGTCAACATTTAGTTCTAACTGCAGCCTCACATGTGTTTCTTGTATTGTCCTTATCGTGCTGTCTTACCTCTGCAGGGGAGGGGGGCTGAGGCAGGGACTCCTCTGGGTTCTGGGCAGTCTGATCTCCTTGAAGTCGTTCCCTCAAGCGCTGGACTTCCTGCCGTAAAGCGCCGACTTCCTGCCCGCGCGTCTGAGCACCCGCCTCCAGCTCCACCTTTTGTTCAATCAGTGCTTTCCCCTGAGCCTCCACCACGGAGATTTTATGTCGCAGGTCGTGGTTGATTTTCATGAGGCGAGACTGCTGCTGCTGGAGCTGCAGAAAGACACACAGAGATGGAAGCAGAAAAGGTAAAAAAAAAGAAAAAAAAAAAAAGAAAACATGACCAAAGTGGAAACAGTGAAAAAAGCCTGTCACTGAAAGCTCTAAAATCAGAGCTTTAACTGTAAGCAAGCCATGACTGTGATACAACATGCAGAAAACTACTGGAACTGTTACACCTCAGTGGATTACACACATCATTATAACAGTCTGCAATACGACAGACTGACAACAATCTGTTGGTTGTCTTACTGCTTCTATGTCCTCGCTCTTTAGGGTCAGCTCTCGGTCCTTGGCTCGAATCTCATCTCTCTGCTTGTCCACCACTTCTTTAAGCTTCTTCATCACCTGCTTCTCTCTCTCCGTCATACCTGGATGAAGAAGATGGGGAGGGAATGCTTTAAAAACAAACAAAATGTTTGTTCTTGTGTATAATTAAATATTATTGAAACAAGATTCTCTTCAAAATGTACCAATAACAACGCCTCTGTTGTGGCTCCTGCGCAAGATTTTAAGATCCAACAATCCTCTATCAATAAAGACACAAACAATAATCAACCTGGTTTGCACAGATTTTTAAAATATAGTTTAAGAGCACTTTACTTTGAGGAACCAGGGTTAGATTTTAGGACTACAACAAATCTTACAACATTAATGTATACTCACAACACTTTATGAGTATGCATGCCTAGATGAATGTATGTGTGTGTGAAGATCATGGACTGTAAATATTAATGGTAGACGCCTGAGCGGTGTCAGCCATCTGTTACTACAGGGGGCTCCGGGGGCTCATAGGCAGCAGCTGCCATGCTGGTAGTCCTGTCTCACACTAACTTTTAGTCAACCTAAAGACAGGCTTAGAGCCTCTTGATGAACAGTTACATCGCGCCCACCTGTCAATCATGTCAGCTACGTGCCTAACTATGGAGAACACACGAATCGTTCATAAAATCAAAACGGTCACCCGCCGTGCAGTGTGTGCCCATGATGACAATTAATAATCAGACCTATTTAGATTTTTGTATCAGTTAATTCTTTGCTGTAAAAACAGCTTTTTTGGCTGTGGTGTGACTTCCGGGGTTCCTGGAGCCAGCCTCAGGATTTTGCACTTCCGCATTGTGCAGATGCATGTGTGGATGTAAAGATGTGTGTGTGTCTGTGATAGAGAGAGAGAGAGAGAGAGAGTCTAGCAGGTGTGCTGGTACTCTGAGGCTGGTCTGTGCACACTGTGTCAGTGTGACTGTGTCCTCTGTGTGAAACCACCAGAGAGACTCTGATGCAGAGACGAGACTAGCTCTCCGTCAGACACCAGAGAAGGCTTCCTTTGTGTGTTTGTGTGTGTGTGTGTGTGTGTGTGTGTGTGTATGCGTGTGTGTGTGTGTGTGCATGTGCGTGTGCGTGTATTTCTTGTAGTGTTCTTGTGTATAATCAAATATTATTGAAACACGATTCTCTTCAAAATGTACCAATAACAACACCTCTGTTGTGGCTCCTGCGCAAGATTTTAAGATCCAACAATCGTCTATCAATAAAGACACAAACAATAATCAACCTGGTTTGCACAGATTTTTTAAAATATAGTTTAAGAGCACTTTACTTTGAGGAACCAGGGTTAGATTTTAGGACTACAACAAATCTTACAACATTAATCATGAGTGGCACAATTAGATGTTAAACTAACTAAATAAAGAAGGATAATTAAAATAGTAAATAATAAAATAATGAAAATATGTATAAATTGTAAAAATATATATTTTTAGTGAAATGTTTAATTTAATGTTTATAGATATTGTAATGAAATATAAACAAACAATATAAAGAGTATATAGTACATATAGCAGTATGCTAGCATTATCTATAGTCTTTAGAGGTGAGTTAAAGTGTGCATGTGTGTCCTGAGCCCTGGTCCTCACCCTCATGCCTCTGCAGGTCCTCCTCACTCATGGGGGTCTTTGATGGACATGTTGGTGAGGAGGCTTTTGTTCTCCTCCTGCAGCTGAGAGATCTGACAGAGGAGGTCCTGAGCTTCTCCTCTCCACACGTCCTCCACCAGCTCCAGCTCCTACACATATGCATCAACATAAAAACACGAATTACAAGATTTAACATTATCTTTTCTTTCTGACAATGCCTACTATATGGCAGTTTAGTTTAGCCTTTTTTTGTGCCTCTACAATTCTCTGACAACATGAGTTCAAAGATATCCTGAAGGATTAAGTGTAGGGCTGGGAATCTTTGGGTGTCTCACGATTCGATTCAAATTTCGATTCTTGGGGGGGGGGGGGTCACGATTTGATTGAGAATCTAAATTATTTTCAATTCAGAATGATTCTGGCTTCATGATTCAGAGTCTATTTCTGAATGAGTACATACTTCAGGACCTACTCCAGTTAACGTGAGACTGGCTGAATTTCTTGCTGCTCCATTTGGCATTCCACTGAATTAAAGAGCTAGCCTTAGCACTTAGCAGGGAGCGACTGATTAATCAATCGAATTTTTTGAAGTTATGAATCTATTTGAAATCTCAGGAGGTAAGAATCTCGACTTTTACATCAATCGATTTTTTCCCCCACCTCTACTTAAGTGTTCTTCAATGGGTTGACCAATTAATCTACTCAGCTATTCATTGAGGTTGAGAACAACCTGAAACAGCTTCAGCAGTGAAATACTAAACATAAAGCAGAATTAATATAAATCCAGACACATCATGTATAATAGTAAAACACAGACAGGGACCATCTTAACGTACGTAATATTAGAACATTCTTTAAGATATTCAGGATCCCCAGAGGATAACATTTATGGACTTCAGCAGAATGGTGTCTGAATAGAAACTCCTGCATTTGTTTTGAATCTCTTCTGATTTATTTAGGGTTTCCCTTGAATATGCCATATTTGTATGAGTAGAGGCGCTTGATTATGCTTTGAAACGGTCTCACACATAAACACATTCCATGCAGTAACAGAAAAACAAGTCCGTTTTACATGGACAATATCACACGATTTTGTCTAATCAGCAGTCCAAACTTTTAGATTACTTGAATTTTCTTAAATTTGAGAGAAAATGAATAAGCAAAGGATCACAGACTGGAACTTCTAGACTTTTCAGGACTTTAAGTTTGAACAAAAATTAAACAAACTATTTTATTGTACTTAAACAAACAACTTTGATTCTGTTTATTTGTTTATGTTATACTAATCGTACATTTCTTGTGTCCAAATTAAAAAGATTTAAAATTAATTATAGCTTTCCGGAAAAAAAGGAGTCGAGTAAAGAAGTAGTAGTGTAGTAAGAAATAGGATAAGTAGGTAGTTCATTGTTATTTTAGCGACACATGTTGACAGTTGATGGAAAATGGGTCCCTGACTCAGAAGGGAAATGTTTCTCATCTCACACTCGAGCTATATTTGTCGTATGTGTGTTTATTTTCCAATTAGTCATAAGACTAATGGGAAGGATACAAGATTACATAATCGGAAGTCGGGACTAAATGAAACCTGCATCCTGACACCGAGTAAGACATCACAGAGTGAGAGCTCAAAGGTAACAGAATTCATTTTAGTGTTTACTTTCGTTCTGTTTATTACACTTGCAATAATGGCAAACTATTTGAATTCAAATGTTTATGCAGTGGAGAAAGGACCTTGTTTTAGTTCACAGAGAACTTGATTTGAATTAAAAGAGGCCAGGAGAAAGTCAAATACACAAAGTCGCCCAAAAAACTTACGTGAAAAGGCTTGTTCCAAAGATGTAGAAAAACTTAGTTCAGAATTACACCTGCAGAGCATACAGACGCTACCTGCAACACTCCCACTAGTGCAGAGAATGAGTGCAGATCGTCCACTAGTTATTGATCTTAAATGGCGACTAAACAGTAAAAACAACAGTTTAGCTAATATGCTTATATGTTTGTTAAGACAACACTGTAAGTGACAAATACAGTCTATATGTGGGAAACACAGTCATTGATTATTTATGTCAATTGTCATTTCATGTTGGAAAATTTATGTCAATTGTCATTTCATGTTGGAAAATTCCGGACGAATCTGGAAGAATCACATCCCTGCACCAACAGCACAAATTAGCTAGGAAGGCCCAGAATGCAGCATTTTACTGTTGTCGATGCTTCAGTTAAGCCTAGATTGAAATATTACAGTTTAGTTCAGAGATTCACAACCTAGGGCTCGGGCTAAACATCTCCTGATAAATCTAAGACGTTTTACAACGATGATACAACAGAAAAAGCAAAAATGTTGTGCTGCAAAAAAGTTGAATTTATTGTAAGGACTTCATCTCTCGTCTTTGCTGTTTATATTTTTTTAAATACATACATTACCTATTACAAAATATAAAAAACACAAAAAATATCCTCAATTTGACAACGAGCTGCACCTACAGACTGAGACAAGACAATTAGATTATGAACCACTGATTTCATCTTTAACATTATATACATTTTCATAACTTACTAACAATTTTTTTTTTTTACACATGATCTTTATTTCAGTAGTAAAAGCTGTCAGCTCAATGAAGTGGAGTACAGTTAAAAGGTATCATGTGATTTCAATTTTGAGTTCAGGAACATACTTTTACATGATCTTCAGTGTACTAAGACGCTGACCAGATCACTTTAAACTCACAACACTATATAGTATTGTTGTCAGTCATTTTAAAGCTCAGGCTCAGTTTGCTCAGCGGCTATAAAAGTTTACGTGTGAGTTTCTCGTGACGGTGACTGAGCGGTGGTGAACACTGATTAACTGTGTCTCATGAGTGTGCGATGGATTTTTCTGCTCTGGCTTAGAGAGAGCTCAGTCAGGTCACCACATTTTCACATGAAAAATGTCACATCTGCAGCTCAAACTTTCCAACATAGAAGTCTGCGTATGAGTCATTTCAAGTTTTGCTTCTTCCCTTAGTATTTGTGTGCATTGTTTTATGATTGAAAGGTTTTACTTTTAACATACAAACAATGCATTGGTGTACACTGCTTGAAAGGCAGAGTTTAAATAAAAGATTGTATAAATTAAATAAAAAATGAAGGAGATGAAAAAGAAAATGTGCATATTGTGGTACATCATTAGTTAAAGTGCAACAGCCAGAACTGGAAAAAGTACTCAATTCTTTTACTTTGAAGAAAAGCATAAAAACAGTAGTTTTGAATTCTCTTATACGAGTTCCTCAAGTACAAGAGAATTACTATTACCTGCAAGATGTTTGACAAAAAAAAAGTGCTTGCTATGCGAAATTGCTCCTTAAAATGGGGCTATATGTAACTTTTTACATGTAAAAATCGTGTTTCATCGCCCATTAATAAGCGAACGGTTAACTGATGTGAAAAAGTAGATGTTCACTGTCTATCTGTGTTGCCTGTATAAAAAGTTCCCCCGGGTCGTATTTTCCGAGAAAGCTCCAGGAAGTGACATTTTATGCACGTTCTCAACATCCTCCTCACTCCGCTCCGCTTACAGAGATCAACAGTACAAACTCATCACACACTCCCGATATAGCCAGAGGCCGCCTTCCACACACTTCTATCCGCTCTAAGAGCTCTCAAAGGCGGACAAACTCATCACACACTCCCGGTCTTCACCTCCACGATGATGATGCTCGTTTGTGTACGTACGAGCACGTATGACGAGCACGTATGACGAGCACGCGAGGGAGAGCGAGCAACAGGTTACTGGTGCAGTTCGCCAAACGGCCATGCGGTATCACTACAAACGCAGTTACATATAGCCCCTTTAAAGAGCATTACAATCTGGTCCCATAAGATTATTCATCTCTATTTATCTATGAACACAATATAATAGTTACAATACATACAAGAGATAGTAGCAGAAGGAGTTGCAGTGAAAATTACAGTAATACCAGTCCATGTACACGATGCCCTTACATACCTTAAATGGGACATATTATGAAAAAGACACTTTTACAGTGTTTTTGAACATATATTTTGGTAACCTGAGTGTCTACAACATGTGAAATGAATCCATCCAGTCCTTTGTTTGTGATCTGCACAAGTCTTACAACACAGAGATAAGTGCTGCGTTTCATCACAAGTGGGATTCTTGTAAAAATACCCTCCCCCATGGACTCCACCCTCAGCCTAGAGCAAAACTTTTGCGCAGGTTCGCCAGTTTTATTCTCGCTACGGAGGAGTGATGTCTACCGGGAAAACTCAGGGGGGACTCATTGCATTTAAAGAGACACACACACAAAAACGGAGCGTTCTGAGAGAGCTGCTTTATACAGGGTCACAAACCTCCTCTGGTGCTTTATTCATGTTATATTTTGACCAAAGCACAGCACAGATGTTTCATTAAGACCACAGGGGACTGTTTGAAAAGGTGGAAAAGGGGTATAATGTGTCCTCTTTAAATCCTAAGGCTGGTCTAATCAACAACATAACTAAAAATCAATGAGAAGCTTTTAACCTCTGTATCAAGTATTCTGAGCTGATCAAATGAATTACACATGAAAATCAACCAAACTTAAGCAGTATAATATTGCAGTGAAGTGTAAAGTCCGATATAGGGTGGCTGTTTAAAGTAGATGTATTTACTGTAACTACAGTCCTTGAGTATATGTACTCGAGTAAATTTCCCAGCTAGTCATTTCAGTCCTTTTAAGATGTATAACTTTTGTTACAATTTCAAAGCAGAACTTCTACTTGTATTGTAGTATTCAACACTGATGTTGACACCCAATTGGAATACTTCTCTGATTTAATCACAGCAACTTGGGGGCCTTCTGTTACTCCGTTTGATTGTTCCTTAAAAGGCAAACCACTTGTCAACAACAAATGTTCATCGAAATCTTCAGCTTTAATGTTTTGTGAAAGATTTCAGGCAGGGCTGGGAAGTTGAATCGAAAAATTAATCGAAACCGATATTCCCACTCTCATTAGAAAACATATCCCTGCTTTAATAGTTGAATTTATTAACAGTAGAGAACTTCTCAGTGAACTGTGAGGGCAAAAAAACAAAAACTAAATAATCGTTCATTAATCATTATCGAGGTAAAATGTTCGATTAATCATGATATTGATTTGAGGTCATATCGCACTGCCCTAATTTCATGTAAGAAACACATATCTATCTTTTAAGGAAACTGCAATCCTACTCTTTCACAAGAAATAATAATATGTATACATTTTTCAATTCAAAGTAGCCTACAAACAGTATTGCTGGAGATGGAACTAATTTCTAGTTGCCTATAAAGTATAGTCAAACCCAAAGCAAATTTACATTTACCAGATTTTGCCTAAAATCTTAATTTGGCTAGTGAATTTAATCAAGCTGTCACATCAATGTTATGAGGTAAAAAGTGCAACAAATGAACTGTGTAAATAATGCAACTGAAGTGCATAATAAAGTAAATATAACAGTGCACATTAGTTGATTGCTTGTGAGGTGACACACCTTCCTGTGCTTCTTCTCCTTCTCCAGCCGGTCTATCCGCTCCAGCCGCAGCTTGTCCAGCTCCAGCCGCAGCTCCTCGGTCTCCGGGCTGATGTTGTTGCGGCTCACCATCACCTCCAGGATCTCCAACACCCGCACCACTTTGGGCATCAGCCGGGACAGAGCCTCGCAGCCGTACTGGTCGATGATACGCTCGAACTCCTGGCCTACCACCGCGGCGATGTCGTACACGTCCATCACCGTGAGGTCGGCCACATTTTTCTCCAGGGCCGAGCCGGAGTCCTCCATGTCGGGATAGTTCGGCCCTGCCCGGCTTCCTATTATGTTTCCTCCGCCACAGCAAAACTTCCTTCCCCTTGGAAGAGCAATTCTGCTAAGTTAGCTGAACTCAGCCGCTTTACCTTCATAAACTAGAAACGAATGCGCCATAAATCAACGTGAAACACCGTAATTATCACTTAATCATCACTAACATTTGAGACCGGGCGATAGTTTTATTTATCCGAGATAGATATTGGCCGTGGCCCATCGCTGTCCTGCCCCGTTCTGTCCCTCTACGAGCTGCTGGTGACCACAGCTGTCAAGGCCGCCATGTTGAAACTGCGTACATCCGGCTTCAGGTTTCAAAATAATAATTACATTTATGTCTAACTACAGTCTAGGATTTACTTTAAGAAAATGCAAAAACTGATAGCTGAAGCAAAACACTGCGAGGAAGGGATAGAATGAGGAATAATAGCAGCAGCAACAACAACAACAATAACAATAATAATAATTATTATTTTAATTATGTTTTTTGAAAATGAAAACATTTTTCATGAACATTTTCAACAGGTCCGGGGTCAACATTTTTTCAAACATGTTTAATAAAAACGTTGAACCCTGTCCTGTCGAATTTTCATGAAAAAATGTTGACCAAAATTTTCATGAAAAAATGTTGACCCCAGACCTGTCAAAAATGTTTAATAAAAACGTTGAACCCTGTCCTGTCGAATTTTCATGAAAAAATGTTGACCAAACTTTTCATGAAAAATGTTGACCCGGACCTGTCGAAAATTTTCATGAAAAAATGTTGACCAAAATTTTCATGAAAAATGTTGACCCCGGACCTGTCGAAAATTTTCATGAAAAAATGTTGACCAAAATTTTCATGAAAAAATGTTGACCCCAGACCTGTCAAAAATGTTTAATAAAAACGTTGAACCCTGTCCTGTCGAATTTTCATGAAAAAATGTTGACCAAAATTTTCATGAAAAAGTGTTGACCCCGGACCTGTCGAAAATTTTCATGAAAAAATGTTGACCCCAGACTTGTCAAAAATGTTTAATAAAAACGTTGAACCCTGTCTGTCGAATTTTCATGAAAAAATGTTGACCAAACTTTTCATGAAAAAATGTTGACCCCGGACCTGTCGAAAATTTTCATGAAAAAATGTTGACCAAAATTTTCATGAAAAAATGTTGACCCGGACCTGTCGAAAATTTTCATGAAAAAATGTTGACCAAAATTTTCATGAAAAAATGTTGACCCCAGACCTGTCAAAAATGTTTAATAAAAACGTTGAACCCTGTCCTGTCGAATTTTCATGAAAAAATGTTGACCAAAATTTTCATGAAAAAGTGTTGACCCCGGACCTGTCGAAATTTTCATGAAAAAATGTTGACCCCAGACTTGTCAAAAATGTTTAATAAAACGTTGAACCCTGTCCTGTCGAATTTTCATGAAAAAATGTTGACCAAACTTTTCATGAAAAAATGTTGACCCCGGACCTGTCGAAAATTTTCATGAAAAAATGTTGACCAAAATTTTCATGAAAAAATGTTGACCCGGACCTGTCGAAAATTTTCATGAAAAAATGTTGACCCCAGACCTGTCAAAAATGTTTAATAAAAACGTTTAACCCTGTCTTGTCGAAAATTTTCATGAAAAAATGTTGACCAAAATTTTCATGAAAAAATGTTGACCCCAGACCTGTCAAAAATGTTTAATAAAAACGTTGAACCCTGTCCTGTCGAATTTTCATGAAAAAATGTTGACCAAAATTTTCATGAAAAAATGTTGACCCCAGACCTGTCAAAAATGTTTAATAAAAACGTTGAACCCTGTCCTGTCGAATTTTCATGAAAAAATGTTGACCAAAATTTTCATGAAAAAATGTTGACCCGGACCTGTCGAAAATTTTCATGAAAAAATGTTGACCCCAGACTTGTCAAAATGTTTAATAAAACGTTGAACCCTGTCCTGTCGAATTTTCATGAAAAAATGTTGACTAAACTTTTCATGAAAAAATGTTGACCCCGACCTGTCGAAAATTTTCATAAAAAAATGTTGACCAAAATTTTCATGAAAAAATGTTGACCCCGGACCTGTCGAAAATTTTCATGAAAAAATGTTGACCCCAGACTTGTCAAAAATGTTTAATAAAAACGTTTAACCCTGTCTTGTCGAATTTTCATGAAAAAATGTTGACCAAACTTTTCATGAAAAAATGTTGACCCCGGACCTGTCGAAAATTTTCATGAAAAAATGTTGACCAAAATTTTCATGAACAAATGTTGACCCCAGACCTGTCAAAAATGTTTAATAAAAACGTTGAACCCTGTCCTGTCGAATTTTCATGAAAAAATGTTGACCAAACTTTTCATGAAAAAATGTTGACCCGGACCTGTCGAAAATTTTCATGAAAAATGTTGACCAAAATTTTCATGAAAAAATGTTGACCCCAGACCTGTCAAAAATGTTTAATAAAAACGTTGAACCCTGTCTTGTCGAATTATCATGAAAAAATGTTGACCAAACTTTCATGAAAAAATGTTGACCCAGACCTGTCAAAAATGTTTAATAAAAACGTTGAACCCTGTCCTGTCGAATTTTCATGAAAAAATGTTGACCCCGGACCTGTCGAAAATGTTCATGAAAAAATGTTGACCAAAATTTTCATGAAAAAATGTTGACCCCAGACCTGTCAAAAATGTTTAATAAAAACGTTGAACCCTGTCCTGTCGAATTTTCATGAAAAAATGTTGACCAAAATTTTCATGAAAAAATGTTGACCCCAGACCTGTCAAAAATGTTTAATAAAAACGTTGAACCCTGTCCTGTCGAATTTTCATGAAAAAATGTTGACCAAAATTTTCATGAAAAAATGTTGACCCCAGACCTGTCAAAAATGTTTAATAAAAACGTTGAACCCTGTCCTGTCGAATTTTCATGAAAAAATGTTGACCAAACTTTTCATGAAAAAATGTTGACCCCGGACCTGTCGAAAATTTTCATGAAAAAATGTTGACCAAAATTTTCATGAAAAAATGTTGACCCCGGACCTGTCGAAAATTTTCATGAAAAAATGTTGACCAAAATTTTCATGAAAAAATGTTGACCCCAGACCTGTCAAAAATGTTTAATAAAAACGTTGAACCCTGTCCTGTCGAATTTTCATGAAAAAATGTTGACCAAAATTTTCATGAAAAAATGTTGACCCCAGACCTGTCAAAATGTTTAATAAAAACGTTGAACCCTGTCCTGTCGAATTTTCATGAAAAAATGTTGACCAAAATTTTCATGAAAAAGTGTTGACCCCGGACCTGTCGAAAATTTTCATGAAAAAATGTTGACCCCAGACTTGTCAAAAATGTTTAATAAAAACGTTGAACCCTGTCCTGTCGAATTTTCATGAAAAAATGTTGACCAAACTTTTCATGAAAAAATGTTGACCCGGACCTGTCGAAAAATTTCATGAAAAATGTTGACCAAAATTTTCATGAAAAAATGTTGACCCCGGACCTGTCGAAAATTTTCATGAAAAAATGTTGACCAAAATTTTCATGAAAAAATGTTGACCCCAGACCTGTCAAAAATGTTTAATAAAAACGTTGAACCCTGTCTTGTCGAATTATCATGAAAAAATGTTGACCAAACTTTTCATGAAAAAATGTTGACCCAGACCTGTCAAAAATGTTTAATAAAAACGTTGAACCCTGTCCTGTCGAATTTTCATGAAAAAATGTTGACCCCGGACCTGTCGAAAATGTTCATGAAAAAATGTTGACCAAAATTTTCATGAAAAAATGTTGACCCCAGACCTGTCAAAAATGTTTAATAAAAACGTTGAACCCTGTCTTGTCGAATTATCATGAAAAAATGTTGACCAAACTTTTCATGAAAAAATGTTGACCCCAGACCTGTCAAAAATGTTTAATAAAAACGTTGAACCCTGTCCTGTCGAATTTTCATGAAAAAATGTTGACCAAACTTTTCATGAAAAAATGTTGACCCCGGACCTGTCGAAAATTTTCATGAAAAAATGTTGACCAAAATTTTCATGAAAAAATGTTGACCCCAGACCTGTCAAAAATGTTTAATAAAAACGTTGAACCCTGTCCTGTCGAATTTTCAGGAAAAAATGTTGACCAAAATTTTCATGAAAAAATGTTGACCCAGACCTGTCAAAAATGTTTAATAAAAACGTTGAACCCTGTCCTGTCGAATTTTCATGAAAAAATGTTGACCAAACTTTTCATGAAAAAATGTTGACCCCGGACCTGTCGAAAATTTTCATGAAAAAATGTTGACCAAAATTTTCATGAAAAAAATGTTGACCCCGGACCTGTCGAAAATTTTCATGAAAAAATGTTGACCAAAATTTTCATGAAAAAATGTTGACCCCAGACCTGTCAAAAATGTTTAATAAAAACGTTGAACCCTGTCCTGTCGAATTTTCATGAAAAAATGTTGACCAAAATTTTCATGAAAAAATGTTGACCCAGACTTGTCAAAATGTTTAATAAAAACGTTGAACCCTGTCCTGTCGAATTTTCATGAAAAAATGTTGACCAAACTTTTCATGAAAAATGTTGACCCCGGACCTGTCGAAAATTTTCATGAAAAAATGTTGACCAAAATTTTCATGAAAAAATGTTGACCCGGACCTGTCGAAAATTTTCATGAAAAAATGTTGACCCCAGACCTGTCAAAAATGTTTAATAAAAACGTTGAACCCTGTCCTGTCGAATTTTCATGAAAAAATGTTGACCAAAATTTTCATGAAAAAGTGTTGACCCCGGACCTGTCGAAAATTTTCATGAAAAAATGTTGACCCCAGACCTGTCAAAAATGTTTAATAAAAACGTTGAACCCTGTCCTGTCGAATTTTCATGAAAAAATGTTGACCAAAATTTTCATGAAAAGTGTTGACCCCGGACCTGTCGAAAATTTTCATGAAAAAATGTTGACCCCAGACTTGTCAAAAATGTTTAATAAAAACGTTGAACCCTGTCCTGTCGAATTTTCATGAAAAAATGTTGACCAAACTTTTCATGAAAAAATGTTGACCCCGGACCTGTCGAAAATTTTCATGAAAAAATGTTGACCAAAATTTTCATGAAAAAATGTTGACCCCGGACCTGTCGAAATTTTCATGAAAAAATGTTGACCCCAGACTTGTCAAAAATGTTTAATAAAAACGTTTAACCCTGTCTTGTCGAATTTTCATGAAAAAATGTTGACCAAAGTTTTCATGAAAAAATGTTGACCCCGGACCTGTCGAAAATTTTCATGAAAAAATGTTGACCCCGGACCTGTTAAAAATTTTCATGAAATA